GAGGGGGTGCGCAAGGATTGGCGGCTGATTGTGACCTGCTCCCGGGTACCCACGGGCCGGCTGTTCTAATTCAAACAGCCAAGAGCCCGACACTTTGGTTGAAATGTCACTGGACTTGTATTTTACTGACTGATACAAAGTGTTCTAGTTTGACCACTAAAATATTCTATCATGTCTGAGTCCTCATCAAACTAGACTGATTCCTATTCTAGGCATTTCCAAAAATTCTTACGCTCTTAATAATGAGGAAGCCACGGAGCTATCTAAACCCACACACGAGCGCACACAAGACATCCCCAGTGCAGGCGGCTCACCTGAGTGCCGCCAGGCACCGATACTCAAGAGCCTCGCTCGCTGCCACACCCGGCACTCGCTCCAGAGGTATGCCTCGGGCCCTGGAGTCCTGCCCACCCCACCCTGATACAGGCCCCCGCAGCCAGAGGTGCCCCTCGCCAGGACACTCTGCTCGTGCCTGGCTGCTGCCATGACTGTTCGTCTGGGCCACCCAGAATGGATGTCTACAGAACTGGAGAGGCTTAGGTTAGGAACTGTGTAAGACCACCTTGCAGTTTAAACGAAAAAGGATAAAATTCAGCGCTGTATATTTAATCCAGATTAGAAAAATCTAAAGGTGGTCTAAGAATGGATGTGGCTGGGACCAGCAGATGGTTACATTGCTGGACTTCCACGTAGTTGACTCAACCACGGTTCGAGTACCGGACCCAGGGGATTAAACTCACGCCAGACATGTGTGTGTGTGTGTGTGTGTATGTATGTGTGTGTGTGTGTGTGTGTGTGTGTGTGTGTGTGTGCGTGCGCGCCCAAAATTCTGTAAGAACAGAGGAGAATGGATGGAGGTGTGGGCATCTCCCCTGGGGGTGATTTTCTGCTTTCTGTCTCTGGCAAGTACATGTGCCCTATGGCAAAAATCTCTTAAAAAAAAAAAAGAATGTGGCCAACTGTACGCCAGAAATACCCACTGCAACCCTCTGCATGCCTTCCTATGTGGCACGGGCTGACTGGGAGTCTCCTCCAAAGGCAGAAACATGTACAAAAAGGGGGCGTTCCCAGCCAGGCAGCAGCAGGACTGACGTGACGAGAGCAGAGGCTGGCAGGTGGCGTGGTGGTACAGCGCTGGGCTCCCACGGGGCTGGCCGCAGTGGGTCTCGGATCTGGGGGCTTGCTTCTTCACTCCCCACCCCCCTCTGGTGAGTGTGTATGCTCTATGGCAAATTAACATCACCACTATCATCATAAATAAAGTTAAATGATTCCCCCTTACTGTCTTAGGGTGTCTGAGCTGGCCAGAAAGAGAGACAGAGAGAGCGAGAGAAGTGAGAAATCACCCCCAGGGGGGTGACCACTCCACAGCCCCTTCATTCTTCTCCTGGGATCTTGCGCATGCACGCATACATGCCCTGTGTTTCAAGCCACCAGATCTGGGGCTCAAACCGTGGTTAACCATGTAGGAGTCCAGCGATGAAACTGCTATGCCATGTGCTGGTCCCTAAAAATTCTCTTTTTTTAAAAGGAATTATTTTATTTAACTTACTTATTTAGTTTATTTATTAATACTTGATGAGAGAGAGAGAGAGAGAAAGGAAGGAAGGAAGGAGCAGGAAAGAAGGGACAAAGCAAGTCGCCAGGTTCAGGACTCGAACCATGGTTGGCTATGTGGGAGTCCAGCATTCTTAACCACCATGCCACCTGCTGGCCCAAATAAATAATTCTTTAAAAATGTCAGGGAGGGACCAGCAGTTAGCGTAATGGCTGTGTCGCTGGAATACCATGTAGTCGACCACGGTTCGAGTGCCGGACCCAGTGGCTCAAACTCATGCCGGGCGCATTTGTGTA